ACGATATATTACCTTTATAAGCGTTTTTAAAAAGTATTTCAGAAATACTTTTATTCTGCAAGGATTCAGATCAAAGTGACTGTAAAGATGTTAATAATAATGAAACAATTGTGGTTTCCAGAGAACAGCAGAAAAATCTATCTTTTCAGCATTGATCATAAGGATGAGAATCAATAATTGTTCATAACAGAGCAGCAAATCAACAAATGAAAATGTTTTTATGTAGGATCACCTGACACAATTCTCACATCACAAAAATAAAATACATTTTAAAATATTTCAAAATCCCAAAATATCTTTTTTTTTTTATCTTTTTACTTTTTTAATACTACTGTTTTATTGTAATCTTGTAGCCCTGATATAATGAAAAGATTTCTTTCAGAATCATCAACAACAACAAAAACCTATGACCGGTAGTGAATTTTGATTTGAACACTGAGTGCGTGAGTGCAACTGATCTGTATCTTGCTCTTGGTACATTTGGCTAAAGATTGTATGTGTAAAGATGAGGAGTTTTTGTCTGTTGCGAGGGCTGTTTTCTGCTGTGTTTGCTTCTGACACAGCAGATATCATCAGTGCTGTGATAATAGCAGGAAGAAGTGAGCTGTTATCAGCTACTGGAGCCGGATGACCTGCATGCGTCTGTTTAAAAGACAGTCAAACTTTAACTGTTGCTTGCTGGTTTTGTGTATATTGATGCGGTGAACTCTTATCATAATGGTTTGAAAAAGGACCGTTTGACAGCAAACTTGATCATTTGTTACATTAAGCTAACGTAATTATCTCTAAGAAAATTCTCATAATTTGTTTACAGAAATTAATTATATCTGTGGATTGTATTAACATATAACAAATCTGTTATTTTGAGTTCATTTATCAAACATTTAGATGTATGATCAGATCCTATATTTTTTTCTATGTGGAAACCATTTTTTATGTGCAATTAATAATAATAATAATAATAATAATAATAATAATAATAATAATAATAATAATAATAATAATAATAATAATAATAATAATAAATCAGTCACATATTTGATGCCATTTATATTATTTCTAAGAAAAATTTCAATTATTCAACTTTGATGCATTTCCCACTTCAATTTATGTCTAATAAATTATTATTATTTCTGTTTAGCAATAGTCCTATTTATTTTAAAGCCCTTATTCACTTCTTGCATTTAATGTTTATAATCCCATATGAGCCATTTTATGTTTGTGTGTAATAGGAACTCTACTGTTTATTATTCATTCATTTTCCTTTGGCTTAGTCTCTTTATTAATTTGGGGTAGCTACAGCAGAATGAACCACCAACTTATCCAGCATATGTTTTACACTATAAAATTCAATGTACCAATAATGCATGTCTTTGGACTCTGAGGAAAACCAGAGCACCCGGATGAAACCCACGTCAACATGGGGAGAACATGCAAACTCCACAGAGAAATGCCAACTGGCCTAGTCGGCACTCAAACCAGTGATCTTCTCGCTGTGAGGTCACAGTGCTAACCACTGAACCATTGTGTCGACCTACTTTTTAATATATATTTTTTAAGGTAGTATTAAGCTATACATTTTATTTATATTCATCCTTAAAGGGATAGTTCATCCCAAATGAAAGATTTCCTCTCTCTCAAGTTGCTGTAGTTTCTTTTTATTGAACACAAAAGAAAATATTTTGAAGAAAGCTGAAGACTACTTACATCCATAGTAGAAAAAACAAATACTATGAAAGTCAGTGGTTACAGGTTTTCAGCTTTTTTCCAGGTTTCCTTTTGTGGTATACAGAAAAATGAAACTTAAACCAATTTAGAACAAGTGAAGGGTGAGTAAACGGTGACAGAATTTTAATTTCATATATGAACTATCCCTTTAAACAACAGCATCTGTGTTTCATAAGATGACATATTCTAGAAAAAGACAAAAGCTCATCCACATGCACTGTCTTCAGGCACCAAAGCAGCCAAATTGGATTACAATGAGAATACAATTCATCCTTTCCAGAAAGATCTCCACAAGCCACAGGATAGAGGCCATTATCTGGGCACTGTGTCCTGTTTCATATGTTAAGCGGGGTGAAACTGAACACACCTTTGGCCCATGTCACCATCCTGCATGTGAATGATGAGAGAAGGCCTTGATAGACAATTAAAGAGCAATTCACTGCCAAATGACACAGGAGACAGGATGTCTGACAGCATGTTAATCAGGTCACACTAATCTGGCCTACTGCATTCATTCTGGCCAAACGCATATTCCAGTCTAAAAAAATAAAGAAAGCATCTTTATTGGCATCAATGGTTCCATGAAGATCCTTTAATAACCATTGAATCTTTTCAGCACACAAAAGGTTCATTAAACCTTTTTTCCCACTACGGGTACACAGATCTTTGAGGAGCTAAGGGCTCATTGAGGAACCAAAACATTTACTGTGGCATTACAGTGACAGGCCCGTAGACAGGGGGGTTCGGGTGGTTCGAAAGACACACCCCTTATTGACAAAGGTCCAGAACTTGTCCCATACATAAGCTCATTTGTTTTATTTTGACTGCTATGCCATCATAAATAGTAAAATTAATCCATTGAAAAAGGCTTTAAGACCAAGCAAAATCCTATATTAAAATGAATTTGAAAGCTAATTTGGCTATTTTTGTTATCCATGAATTTTCAATCAAATCAAATGTACTTTTTATACAATAGAGGCTAGAAAAATTGTGAAGCTCTTTATTATTATTATTATTATTATTATTATTATTATTATTATTATTATTATACTTTATTTTTTTATGATTTAAATAGACAAATTCTGACTGAGGACAGTTAAATGTGGCCAGTTTATAGGCTACGGCTACAATAGGCTACAGTTTTTAATTATTAATTTATTCTTCTTTTTTTTATCTTTAGGAAATATTTTGATACATTAAATGTGTCATTATGATGACAATCTAACAAGCTAATCCTGCTAAAAATAGTGCTTAATATGTCACTAAAATACAGTATTTAAATCTCATACATTGTAAATGGGGTGAATAACTGCAAAAAGGTCCACATTTTGAGAAAGAGAACCACCCCTTGTACTAGACTGGCTACGGGCCTGAGTGAAAAACACATTTTGGATTAAAAAATTGTGTACTCTGTTATTATTTTAACATAATAAAGTGTTTGCACAGGCAATAATTTACTCACCCTGATGTATTTTTTTCACAAAATGGAAGATGTAATTTTTGGACTCAGCTCATCTTTGTTTAGTATAGAGCAGCTTTGAGATTAATTCACACACAGGATTGTCATGTGTACACATGCCACATTTTTCATGTGCTCTGGTGCTAAACTATAGGGTTTGGCAAAAAACAAACCAAAATATAACATAAAATGTCACAAAAATTCAAAGTATGACTATAGAATAATGGTTGGTCTTCTGCAACTGCGCAGAAGTTCACTTAGACAGTGTGTCAGTAAAAAAGTAAATCTTTTTTTCCCCATTTTCAGTTAAGCACGAACTAACTGTTTAAATTCCATTTATAGTCTATCTACATAATAACATGTCCCTAAGCAATGTTTTCCTCTAAACTCGCCTACGTAATGCAAATTGAGCAAGCTGAATAGCATTTGGCCACTTGTTTTGAGCATTTCTAAACGCCAGAGATCAGGCGACCTGACCTTTTTAACGAACACTAGTTTATCAGTATGCAATTCAAATGAACCCTGTTCTACTGCAACTGATATAGCAATTATTAAAACTGTGTGGTAACGACACGAGAAAATATTGTCAGTGACATCTGCTTTAATGCATTTGTGCGAATCCGGTGCAGCTGTTGAGGGATTTGTGAATGATTTTTTTTTAAAGCTGGCACACACAAGATGACGTTAGGTTCATTGGAGGAAATGACCGAAGAGGAGGCGAGGAAACAATGGCAATTCGCATCTGCTGTTAAACTATTTTGATGGCTCCATTTATGTGTTTATTAGGCGATCATTTAGCGCGCGCTTCCACATTCATTGAATTTGGATTGAGCAATCGATCATCAAGGTAATAATCTGATGAGAGCATGTGCGCTTTATTGCGATTACGTGATCTAATTGTACTTTCATATGTTCGAGTTACAAGAGATATTAGCCCACAATAAAATGGGGGCTAATCTAAATTAGGGATTTTTTTGCAGCAATACTTCGGATTTTACTGAGCATATATTTCAGAAGCAATTTAATAACACATACAAATTTCATGGATATTATGGTTATACAGAAGCTTTTTAAAAATACATTGCAATGATTTCTTTTACGTGTAATGTATTGGCATATGCCTATTTGTTGTTATTATTTACAAATTGTATTCTGGCAAATATTTTATTCATTTATTTGCTCTTCAGTGTTTGGACTTTCAGCAGTGAAAACCACACTGAACTGAGCTAAACTGAACTTCAACTCTGAAAACTGAACTGACAGTTTCAATTTAACAGAACTTCTCTGTTAAGCTGCTTTGACACTAGTGTGCATTGTGAAATCTTTATAAAAATAAAGATTACTTTAATTTTGATATGTTGTGTAAAACTGAAATATGTATTTTATTTGTGCATACGACACCAAAAAGGACTAATTTGAGACAGTATATATCCGCGTTACACAGTTTTACAGTACGTCAGCTGCGTACCATGCTCCGCACCGCCGCTGGACGAAACAGAAACACGACTAAACGAGTTCAAGTGTGTAACCTGAGCACGAGGTATATGAACCCCTCACCAAATAACACTCGCACTCCTCCTTCCTTCCCGTGAAGCGCCTCTCTACTGTTTGTTTGCACTCCGCTGATCCGGAGCGGAAATTCCTTTCCGTTTTTGTGAATGACAAACTTATTAACAATTCATCAACACAGTCTGTTCCATCCGGCCCCGTTTCCAGGCGACGATCGCTCGGCGCCTCCTGATTGGCTGGCCGACATAATGTATCCATTGAAACGCCTCGCGCTTGTATCCATTCACTAGCTCACAGTGACAGAGAGCGCATCTCGGACTTGTGGAGCGGAGGACGCAGTGTTGCATTCTCCAGGATAAACATCGAAAGGAAATAACAATACGAAGCATTTTGCTTTTGCAATCGACATTCAACTGGATATCTAGAGCGCTTCGTGCGAAAATCGACGACGAGAGAAGAGAGGTTATATAATAGGAAGACAACGTCAGTGGCTCGCGCACTCACAGGCTAGTGTGAGTCATTGATAAATGCACACAGTTGCATGAATGGGGTGGAAGTAGATCGAGGCTGCGCTTGACTCTCGAAACAAACAAAAAACGAGGATTTTAATCATCTCGACGGCGCACAAGAGACTTTGGCGTGTAAAAAGCTCAATGCTCCAGGCCTGAGACGTCTACGGCCTCTTGCAGCGCGTCTTCTCCGCAGTTTTAAGGTCTCACGGTACCGCACCGTATTTCACTAATGCTCGATAAGTTCAAACCCGTGCAGATCGATTCGGTCATGGCCATAAGCAAGACGGTAGAGTGGCTGAAGGAGCAGCTAGAAACGCGCAGAGACTGTTTGCTCGTTATGGACTGCCGAGCGCAAGAGCTGTACGAGTCGTCGCACGTCGAAACGGCCATTAACGTGGCCATCCCGAGCCTCATGCTCCGGCGACTCAAGAAAGGCAACCTGCCCATCAAGTCTCTGCTTTCTAACGGGGAAGACAGGGAAAGGTTCGCGCGGAGATGCAAGACGGACACGATCGTGTTGTACGACGAGTACAGCCGCGAGTGGAATGAAAACATCGACGGCGGCTCCGTGTTGGGTTTACTGCTGAGGAGAATGAAGGACGAGGGCTACAAGGCTTTCTATCTCGAGGGTACGTACATTCCCAACGAGTTTGGTGATTTTGCTTCTTAAATCGAAACATTTGCATTCGTATCTGATTTAGGTTATAATATTTTTTAATTACTCAGTAGTAGTCATTATTACGTCTTTTAGTTTTACTTGCAGACATTTATTATATACTTAGTACTTGTATTAACTAATGTCTATTCGTTTAATGATGTTGATTTGTTACTAGTTGTATGTTTCAAATCTGAATTTGATGGAAATCTAAGGTTGAGCTAATAATACTAGAGAAGCTACCATTTTGCATTGCTTGTGTCACCAGTTGCATTTTGATTTTAATGGCTACTTCGTAATTGGTTAAACACAACTAGTCGTGAGGTTAAGAATATCATTTGCAGTTACTATCAAAAATATAATTTCTCTACATTTCTAATGTGGACACATTCACAATTACATGTTGCAGTTCCTACTAGTCACGTTTTGTTATTTCCCCAGTAACATTTGCATCTGACTTTAATGGCTGCTTCATAGTTGCATCAAAATCAAGGATTAATCATTCTGAAAATGCAACTAGTAATAACAATAAACACAATACTTTATTTGTGTTGCAACAGGATTTAATATTTAAATAGTTCATAGTAGGCAATAAAATAATGAATGGCTAAGAGTGAAACAAAGATATTAGTCACCACTAAAATGAAAAATAAATATGCATCAGATGTAAAAGAACTTCTAACTTCTATTTTCAGGTGGCTTCAGCAAATTTCAAACTGATTTTCCCGCAATGTGTGAGACGAACCTCGACGGTTCCTCAAGCAGCAGTTCCCCAACCTCCCAGGTCCTGGGTCTCGGAGGGCTCAGAATCAGCTCTGACTCCTCGGACATCGAGTCGGATATCGACCGAGACCCAAGCAGTGCAACTGACTCAGATGGCAGCCCCCTTTCCAACCCCCAGCCCTCATTCCCCGTGGAGATCCTTCCACATCTGTATCTGGGCTGTGCTAAGGACTCCACAAACCTGGATATCCTGGAGGAGTTTGGCATCAAGTACATCTTGAACGTGACCCCTAATCTCCCCAACATGTTCGAGAATGCCGGGGAGTTTAAGTACAAGCAGATTCCCATCTCTGATCACTGGAGCCAGAACCTCTCACAGTTTTTCCCTGAAGCCATCAGCTTTATTGGTAAGAATCAAATTTTAATTTGCTCCTCATGCATTCCCAGTTTTGATTAAAAATATTGTGTCTTTAGTGTTTTTATTGTTAGCATTGAAACATATCCCTCGGTTGTGCAATTGTGACACAAAGGCTTATGATGAAACGGGAGATGGAGGGGGGAGGCGGTAATTTGAGCTCAACAGGAAGGAAGCAAGCAGCATTGAAAGTAATCTAGGACAGAGCAATGTTTCGCCACACAATGAGGACCATTTACAGGGCACTGTTGACATCCTGTTAGCCTTGACAGGGCGCTGCCATGACTTCTACATTTACACGCCCAAATGGTACCATTGTCAAGTAACCTGACGAGCGGAAGGATCATTTGATTAACCTTAACAGCCCATTTCCACGTCACATTCTCAGACAAAATAGGCGAGTTGTTTTCAGTCATGCACTAGAAATCCCACTGAATGAGGCCCCCTTTGTCAGCGCAGGGAGTGTAATGAATTCTGACAACCGAGGTTATGTGCAATTGCATATTCATAAGTAAGTTGCACACAGATAACTAATCATCTTGTCCTTTTTTTCCCTCAGATGAGGCCCGTGGACTGAAGTGTGGCGTGCTTGTTCACTGCCTTGCAGGCATCAGTCGTTCTGTCACTGTAACAGTGGCGTACCTCATGCAGAAGCTCAACCTGTCCATGAACGATGCTTATGACATTGTCAAAATGAAGAAGTCGAACATCTCGCCCAACTTTAACTTCATGGGTCAACTCTTGGACTTTGAGCGCACGTTAGGACTCAAGAGTCCGTGTGATAACCGTGTGCCGGCCCCAACCCAGCCACTGTACTTCACCACACCAACCAATCACAACGTTTTTCAGTTGGACCCTCTCGAGTCCACGTGAGGTCCTGCCATGACTTGATTCGAGTGAAATGCAAGTTTCTGTTTTTCGACTCTAGTCAAGGGATTCCTGACGTTATTGATGTTGGCTTGAGACGACGGCCGACCAGAGTAGCCACTGATGGGGCATGTGGTGTGCCCAGAGCTTCTACGCTGCTGTTTAATGGAGAGAGATCATGTGACTCTAAATCTCCAAGACTCTTCAAAGTAGTTTGTTTTATATATATATACATATATATATATATACATATTTAAGCATGGAAAGACTGTGGAAATGAAAAGAGCATCCGATTTATTGGGGCTGGTGTGCCAAAGAGACTTGACTGGAACTGAACAATGACAAATACTCATTTGTTTTGTTTAGCACTTGCACCTTGATGTTTTCTAGGTGTGCCCTTCTTGTCTTCAATGAAGACTTGCCTGTTTTTGGGACGAGACTTCCCTTCGGTAATGATGGCAGAGTGTACTGTACTCCAACTTATTTGCGTGGAGAAATTTTTGACAACATTTATACTTATGTATATTAAGATGTCGGTAAGCCTTGCCGTAGTTAGAATATACCTGAACAGCTGTAGATTTTTCTTCTCCTTTTCGTCCTCTTTATGTAAACCAACTGAATATCGATCAATATTATCTTTATCATCGAGTTAAATGCCAAAAATTTCAACAGGTTTTTGCAACGATCATCAATATGTGCATATGTATAATATATTTCCAGTTTTGCTTTACGGATCGATTCCGCCTTTCTCAGCCTTTTAACCACTGTCACGAATCAGAGTCATCATTCTCTTGCCTTAGTTCTGTACATAAGAGTGTTATTGTGCGGTAACCTTGCAAAGCAGTTCCCCATGCGCTTTTTTTCACCAGGACGTTTTTATCAGACCCCACCATATGAGCTGCACGTTCAGAGGGGTTGTCCGAATTTGTACGTGTACGAGACATTCCTCGAATGCCATCTGGCAGGGTTTCTGATGCATGCTCATTTAGGACCCATACGCCTTTATACTACTTGTTTTTTTTGTTGTCATTTATATGGGGACGTTGGAAGGTTGAAGCAAGTAATGCTGATTTTTGTTGTGTGTGTGCAAGGATTTGAGGTCTGTGTTGACAAAGCAGGGAGAACTTTTTTGGGTCTCCTGTTCAGGGAAGTTCTGTGTCATGCATTTTTTTTTTTGTAAGAAAAATGATGATGGTTTTACTGGAGGGTTTTGTTGTCCCTCGAAGCGAAGGCCTGGGCGGGGGAGAGGCTCTTTTACAAAACCCTTTTCCCCCAATGTTACGAATGTAAAGAAATGATAAGTTATTAATAAATTGCTATTTTGTCTATTCAAATCTATTCATGTCTCTCAGTTGTTTTTTTTTGCAAACTAAATTCACTAGCACACATTTCATCACTCAGCAGAATATTTGACTAGATATTCAGTTGACAAAGTAACCATTGGCACAAATACTAGATTAACCTTAAACCAAAAACAATATTTTTCTTCCCTCAAACATAAAGTGTTACTGACTGAGCAAAACAACTTTCCATGTGGATAGGCTGGTATTTCCAGAATCGGTTTGCTAAAGTGAAATGTCCCCCCCTGCGGCACTTCCTGACAGAGATCAGGCTGTTGCTATAAAAGCAAGTTATGGCAAAACAAGCCATAACCTGAAACCCTCTTGGCTTTTGCATAAGGCAGATAAAGGTATAATCCCTGGGTGGGAGGAAGAAATGGGGTTAAAATGAGTAATTATTATTTCTGATGGCAAAATAACGTGTTGTTGTTATAATAATAATGATTTGTTTTTACTTATCTGCCAACGAGAGTAGGAGTAGTATTAGGGAATGCTTTTTCTCATATTAGACACTGAAGTTTTTTCCACCTACATAAATTTATTTTCTACATATTAATTAGACACTGAAGTTTTTCCACCTACATTTATGTTTTTGTTTATATTTATATAAAACTATCATCATTAAAGGGACTAAGCCAAAAAAATGAATGCATTATTATCACCATTTTCCTTCAGCTTAGTCTCTTTATTCATCAGGGGTCACTACAGCAGAATGAACTGCCAACTTATCCAGCATATGTTTTGCACAGCGAATGCCCTTCCAGCTGAAACACAGTACTGAGACACTCTACAAACTAATAAATAACTATAATTAAGCATTAGTATATGTTAATTATACTAACATATTTAGTTTAATATATTAATTCATTCTAATGTCGGCTTAGTCCCTTTGTTAATCAGGGGTCGCCACAGCGGAAGGGACCTCCAACTTATCCAGCAAATGTTTTACGCACTGGGAAATACCCATACACTCTTGCATCCACACACATACACTATGGCCAATTTAGCTTACCCAATTCACCTATTGCACATGTCTTTGGACTGTGGGGCAAAGCGGAGCACCTTGAGGAAACCCACGTCAACATGGGGAGAACATGCAAACTCCACACAGTAATGCCAACTGACCCAGCCAGGACTCGAACGAGCGATTTGTTGTGAGGCAATCGTGCTACCCACTGCACCACCGTGACGTGATATATAATATATTCTATGAAATCTTTAGTATGTTATATCTGTATTATACATTGTACACAGAGAAGTATAGTAACGAAGTAGAACTACTTCACTACTGTATTTAAGTACTAAAAGGCTGTACTCTACTGGAGTATTGTTTTTTTTCTCCTACTTTCACTTTTACTTCAGTACATATTTTGGATGAGATTAATACTTTTACTTCGATAGACTTTTTATGTCCTGCATCGTTACTTGTTACTAGGGGTGTCAAAACTACTTAAAAGGTAGACAATAGTGCACAATTCAACTGCTTTATGAGTTTGCTCGACAGTCTTTCCTTGACAATAAAGGCTGCACAGCACACAAGCCGCTATTTCACCACTATGGAGAAATACTGTAAAACTCCATCTTTACCTCTCTCTCTCTCCCACTTTGGACATTTGACCCGCTGGCGTGTTTGTGAGGTAACTTTTCCTCTCCTCTCGACTGTTAAAACAATTTTTAAAGAGTTTTCTCCACTGTGTCTATTACGGATTACCTGTGAAAACCGCGTATTATGCGCATACAGACACGATCGGTGAAAAGCGCTTTCATTTCTATAGCCAATCGCAGCCCTTTCTGTTGAGCAGGTGAAGACAATAACTAATCATAGGGGTGTCAGCATTTAAAAAGCAAGCAGGATAATATTGACATGAGTTTCTTTGCTATAAATGCTCCTGCTGTCTTCTGTGCATGAGTTTTGTTTGATACATTCAGAAAGAGTGTTTTCTTTGAGCAGGTCAAATTAAGGGTACACTTCATATATCTTACTGCTTCTGTTAAAGGACAATATTGTATTACAAATAATGTATAAATATATATATATATATATATATTTTAAATTCTTGTGTTTTGAAGAAAAATTCTAATTATGTATGGAAAGCATCGTCAATGCACCGAGATCCACCGAGATATCGAATTGAACCAGCCGATAGCATGATAATCGTAACTGAACCAAACCGTGAGACCAGCTTCACACCTCTACTCCATACAATTATAGACCTTGTTTTTGGCTACTGCATGGAGGGCGATATAGCGACTAACGTCTTCCGGTAGAATGTTTAGAACTTCCATTTACAGTGTTTACAGCCGGTAATTTGCCATCCGAAAATGGGTTTCAATAGCGTTTAGAGTGGATTACAGAGTGTTTTTGTAACACATAACTTTGAAAAGTGTGAGTTAAAGCTGTTATAATTTCTCAGATCTGTGGTTCAAGAGCGAGAGAAAAATGTTCTCTTAGTTCATATAAATCATAAACCATGTTTCTTTTCGTTCTGCTTAATCACGTTTCCCCCCAAAAAAGATATTTAAAATAAACAAAACAATATGATGTCTTTTGACTGCTTTCTTTAATAACTACATTACACAATACTTGCACTTTTACTGTCAGTATACTTGAGTTGTAAATTTTGAAATAAACTACTTGCAATACTTAAGTACAAAAAATGTTGAGTACTTTAGTACTTCCACTTAATTATGGTGCTTAAAGAGCACTTCCACCTCTACTCAAGTCACCTTTTTGATAGAGCACTTGTACTTTTAATAAAGTCTGAGTCTCTAATACTTTATACATCTCTGATTGTACAGTTAAATGTATTACAATTAAACTACAATAGTTTTAGGACAATATGTGCGTATTGTCTCAGCATTACTGATGCAGCTCTGTAAGTCAGAGCAAATAAACCCAACAGATTGTGTCTATAGTTGGCCAGTGTGCTAATCCTGTGTGAAGGGTTTCAGTCCCTGTCGTCCTCTTGTGACAGACTGCACTGTGAAGGATTTGCCAACATGCCCAGCAATTTCCGGTGCTCAAGTTCCACTGACCCCTACACCACCCTCCTCCCAAACACCAGCCCACCCGTCAGGCATCGCCCGTTGCTCGCCAGCTGCCCCCCTCCATTTGTGTGCGGTGAAGGCCGCCCCTGGATATATGACCTCGCCAGCTGTCAATCACTTTAACAGGCAGGTGTGTCACCAGCCAATCATCTGGGTCAAAACAGATGGTTTGTTCTGCCCAATTTTAATACCAGGGGTTCACTCTTAAACTTAATGGTTCTTTAATAGCATTGATAGTTCTATGAAGCACATCTAACATTTTTCCTTCAACAAAAGGTTCTTTGGCGATGCAGTGGAGCAGTAGTTAGTGCTGTCGCCTCACAGCAAGAAGGTCGCTAGTTCGAGCCTCGGCTGGGTCAGTTGGCATTTCTGTTTGGAGTTTGCCTGTTCTCCCTGCGTTTGCGTTGGTTTCCTCCGAGTGCTCCGGTTTCTCCCACAGTCCAAAGACATGCAGTACAGGTGAATTGAGTAAGCTAAATTGTCTGTACTGTATGAGTGTGTGAATAAGTGTATGTGGATGTTTCCCAGAAATGGGTTGCAGCTGGAAGGACATCCACTGCGTAAAAACCTGCTGGATAAGTTGGTGGTTCATTTCGCTGTGGCGACCCCAGATAAATAAAAGGACTAGGCCGAAAAGAAAATGAATGAACGAAAAGTTTCTTTATTGTTGATCAAGTTTGTTTAGATTCTTTAATCTTTATTTAAATTATTAAAAAATTATTTTAAATTTTTTTATTTTTAAAACTCCTTTTTGGTTCTTTATGTAAGACCGTATTAGGGAAATTAAACTCAGATTATGATACTATTTCATAGTTTTAATAGGCCTTTGGATCATTCTTTGTGTATGTTTTGAAAACAACGGTGACACGGTGCAATAGTGGTTAGCACTGTTAGTTTCAGGGCCAGTTGGCATTGCTGTGTGGAGTTTGTATGTTCTTCCCGTGTTTCGCATGGGTGTCCACCGGGTGCTCCAGTTTCTCCAATAACATGCGATATAGGTGAATTGAATAAACTAAATTGGCCGTAGTGTATGAGTGTAAATGAGAGTGTATGGATGTTTCTCAGCACTGAGTTGCAGCTGGAAGGGAATCTACTGTGCAAAAAATATGCTGGATAAGTTGGCGATTCATTCTTCTGTGGTAACCCCTGATGAATAAAGGGACTACACTGAAGGAAAATGAATGAATGAATGTTTTGAAAACTTGTCAATGATTTGTAGCCCTGAAAATATAACAATTGTTGAAAAATCACCATTGACATTCTGAAAATTTGAGTGACATCACCAGCGACATTAAATCGTTTGTGCCTGCTTTTTCTGAGCCATGAATGGGGATCAAAATCCCAGAGGAAAATTTTAACATTTTAGTACACAGTTATCATGTAAACTCTTTTTTTGCAGTTCTGTTTTTAACCTCACGATTGTATCGTTTTCTTTACTTTCAGTATTTAATCTTAGAGTTCTACCCTTCTCATAAAATTACTGCATTTTTTAAAACAAGTGTTATAAACACTTTCTGATGTTATAATTATCTTAAAATTTAACATGTTTGACCCTCACCAGGGCAGCGCAGTGGCAGAGCGGGTAGCACTGTTGTCTCACTGCAAAAAGGTCGTTGGTTCAAGCTTCAGCTGGATCAGTTAGCATTTCTGTGTGGAGTTTGCATGCTCTCCCTATGTTTGTGTGGATTTCCTCCGGCTGCTCTGGTTTCCCCTTCAGTTCAAAAACTTGCACTATAGGTGAATTGGGTAAGCTAAATTTAGAAAACGGTGATATATATTAAGGATGCCACGATTCTCAATATAATATTGAACCGTTCGGGATGACATATACGGTTCAGTACGCACTTGTGAATTGCTGTTTTCTCGGAAGAAAGAAAAAACGGTGAACAAAAAAACTGTGTACAAGTATTGTTTTATATGTATAACCATGACTGCACATCTGCAGCGCCA